GGGCGGTGAGAGGGCTGGGAAACACAGTAATGAAAATGAACTACAGCCCACACAAAAAGTTTCTAAAAGAACGCTCATGCTTAATGGAAAGTAATCTGATTTTAAAAGAAATGAGCCTTATTTTAGAGGAGACTCTCTCCCCCACTCAGTCCCAGGATGTTTGATTCTTCTCTGTGTCAACTCAGATGCTAAGGGAACTCTCAAAGGCTAGCAGGACCTCACAAAAGGTCTGGATCAAGCTGTCATATGACTCACACCTTGACCTTAGTTGTCAACTAGTTAAACACAGATTTTTAATTTGGATTATAGCCAAGTACAAAGCTGTATGCCAAAATTATGTTAAAGATTTCTAACGTGGATCCCTGCTCCCCAGTAGTTTCACGTTTCCTGATAGGTCAACACTTTCCTTCTTGGAAACCTGAATTTTTTACCTATGCGTTTCACTGCACGAGTTACCAATGATGCTTCACTTTTTCTTCCTTTGACACTGAGAAAGTTTGAACTTCCTTACCGAAACTTTAATGAGATTTTACAAATATCAAATCACCTTGTATTCATCAAGAAAATAAGTGCATATTTGAATTGAGATTCTTCATAACTTTGTTAATTAATGGGTAATACTCATTTTCTCTCTTCTTAATCAAGAAACCAAATGTAATTGCTTTTGCTGTAATTATCAACGTGCCATATTTCTAAGCTTTTGACAAATGATTCTATAAAGTATAAATTGATTTTGCCATCACAATGAGTAACATAAACGCTTGATCAAAATAATAACCTCTAAATTTCTGGCATTTTCATGTTCCTTCCTTGGAAAAAAAAAAAACACTAAAATTTTTCCTAGTTACGTCCTTCTCAAAAATGTGGAATCACTAAGTGAACAGATTTTTGCTCTAAAACACCTGCAAAAGTAGTTATACTCACGGTCTTCTTCCAAAGAATTTTTATCCTGTGCAGCACTATTTAGCATTTAACACATCAAAGTCATGTCAAATTTTCCAATCTTCTAATCTTCCTTTTACCAGAGGTAGGTGGAATATTGAGTGGCATCATTACAATTCTTTCCTAAATCAGAGATTCTAAGATCTGTGAATGCCATACATGTGTTAATAACTCTCCTTTACCCTTGTCTTTAATAAGAAGCTAAAATCACATCTGTACAGGCAAGCTAAGTCTCAAAAGAAGAAAAAATTTTTTTTTTAAAAAAGCTGCTTTTGTGATGCAAACAGCATGGTCTTTTGAACCAAATAGGCCAGCGCCCTCTTCACAGGTCAGAGCTTAACTCTTTAAACCTTTGACTCTTTACCTATGAAATGTGAAATAATAACGTGAAATAATATTTAGCTTCCAAAACTATTGTGAGAATTAACTGAGATGATCCACAATAGAAGTTGGGTACCTGATAGACATTTAATAAATGACAGCTATTTGTATTCAATTGTTCCACAGACAGGATTTATCAGTTCTATCAAGGCCATTTAATTTGACTGTGTAGACAGAACAGGAGTTCAAGTGATGAAATACAGTACTATACAATACGATACAGAGAACACAATTCAGCACAATACAATACAACAAAACAAAATATAAAACCTCAGTCTCAGCTCAACCAGATCTCACACAAAACAGGAAAAGACTATTTAGAGGAAGGAAATAGTTGAGCTGATTACTTTCGAAATTGAATCCTACAGAGAGTCATTTGGATAATTATTTGTTTCAATCATACATCACAGAATTAGCAATTCAGTCATTCCACTTAGCTACTTTCCTTTCTCCCATCTCTTTCTATATTTTCCAACTTCATAGGTATGTTTACATCAAAGCCAATCAACACCGTAGGAAACATTTTCTGATGCAATGTAAGTGATTTTTGAGTTAGAATGGTTTGAAATCAGGACTGAATTCTGAATTATCCAGATTTCCTGCTTGTAGTGTCTACCTAAGCAAATGCCAGAATACTTGCTTGAATGTAATTAGAGAATAGCTACCTCCTAATTGATCACACAACTATTATGATAGAGACAACAGATGGTTCATTAATCTTCTTACCTCAAGTGAATGGCGTTTTGTATATTTGTCCCATTTATCTGTTGGCGTCATGATGGTTTTCTCATCAATTTATACACACCTTCATATTTTAAAGGCATTAACATTATTTCTGTCAGGTATGTTGAAAATATTCTTCCCTGCAGTGTGCTTGGTTTTTTTTTATAGATGTATAGATGTTTTTGTGCTTCGACATCTAGATTTAAATTAACAAATAGCAAAATAAGAGCTTATTCTATGTCCGGCACTTTACAAGATGCTGGGGCTACAAGACGGACATGTTTGCTGTCCTTGTCCAGTTGCATTCAAGAAGGAAATCAAACCGTGAGGAATGCGCTAAACAGTCAAATAATAGAAAACTAGAAATTAATGGCTTAAGCATATGGGGTTTTAGATTAGCAAATGATTTAGAGTGAGTTTGCCCAGGCTTGGTACCGCTGAAACCTCTAGAGCAGCTGTTGTCAAGCACCCAGACTCTCTCCTCGTTCTCTTCCCTCAGCTTTAGTCAGTGGCTTTCATACTCATGATTACAAAATTGCTGCTGAGTCTCCAGACATAATATCTACATTTTATGTAGGAAATATAGAGGAGTTCTAGAAGTAGGAGGATGTCTGCATCAGGTAAGCAAGAGCCTCCCCAGAAACCATCAGCTTATGACTCATTGAGCAGATATGTATCACATCACAGCCTAGGGAAGTGAGCCTTTTTATTTACCTGGACTGACGGTGCTCTGAAGAATATCAAGTTTCTTAATAAGAAAGAAGTAGTAATGGATATTAGGTGGCATCTAATAGTATCAGCCTCAGGAAGACGGTCCGCAAAAAATAAAATAAAAGACGGTCTACAAAAAATAAAATAAAATAAAATCATTAAAATAATTATGTCATAATTAGTGCAATAAAAAAGGATAATGAAGGCTGCTATAAATACTAATAGGGAATGGAATTATATTAGATAGGATGCTCCAGGAAGGCCTCTTAAAGAGGTGACAAAGTGTGACGGGGAGGATGAGAAGGAGTCAGCCTTAGAAATGATGGAAGGAAAATTACCTAGGCAGAAAGAAGAAAAAGTGCAAAGGCTCCGAAGCAGAAAAGAACTTGATTTATCCACAGAACTAAAAGAAAATGAGTGGAACTGTGAGTGCAGGGGAAAGGGCGCCAGTCACCTGACACAACTGCTTCAACGAAACAAACAAACAAACAAAACTCAGACCAAGAGTGATTAAATAATTTGCCCATAGTCATTCTGTTAATTTTTGCCTACAGTACACAACATATTTATTTTAATCTTCAAACATGGACATGGAGGGAAGAAAAAATTATTTCTTTTTTTACAGATGAAAGAAAGTTTCCTATAGCTAAGTCAAAGCTTTAGGTCTAAATTAGAAGGAACATAAAGAGAAATGAAATGTTAACAGTGAACATGTCTGCTTCGAAGCCATATAGACATAACTATATACCTTTTCATATGACAAAATATGGATTACTCAATTACAGTGATAGAGGGAAAAGTAAGAACCAGAGAGAGTAGGAAAGAGAGGAAGAGAAGAGGAGAGAGAGAGAGGGAGGGAGGGAGGGAGGGAAGGGAGGAGGGGAGGAGAGAGAGAGAGAGAGAGAAATATAGTCTTTGCTTCAGAGTATCTAAGAAATTAAACAATTTATTTTCATATTTGCTTGCTTCCTACTCAACCTAACCCAGTTCAAGAACCGTCTAAAGCTGAACATATTAGTGAAAGAACATATTATCTTACCTTCTATGTAGTTTCACACATCTCTGCTACCGGTCACTAAAAACACTAGAGAAGAGATTGTTGACAAGTTAAATGCAAGATTATTACGAAACATGTGTCACACTTATCGTTGGTGATATCAGCTTTTATAAAACAGCTGATATTTCAATCACCGATCTAAAATGATAAGCTATTTAAGAGAAATACAATATTTATTATAATCTTAATTTTTACTAGCCCCTACTCCTCTATTGCGTAATCTAGTGTCATGTCCCTCTAGAGAGTAAATCAAATTGACAATTCATAGTAAATATTGAATAAATCTTTAACGAATCATATAATAAATTTTCAGATTTTTTTCCTAATGAAGTTTCTCCACAAGAGGTTAATTTAGTACCTTTATCTTATTTTCTTTTACCCAGGGTGTTCACATTCTTTATAAGTTATTGAAAAATATGTACCATAATTATGTACAGTGTAATTTGGACTATAAATTGTACTATAAAAATCTATATTATTTCTAAACCTTTCTCATTAGTTAGCAATTAAATAACTTAAAATGCTAAAGCATGCCATTCTCTGTTGCTAAAGACACGAAGGGGCAGACAGTTCTGGTGTAACTATTATGACCCCTTTAGTTAGATGCATTTTAAAATTACATTAACAGAACCAAGTAGACTGATTAACCAAAGTAGAAATGAACAATACACAAATGCAGACTATCATGAAGATATTTTTTAAAAACTGGTGTTCTTATTTCTAGCTAACTGTATTCCATTTCTATCTAGCAAACACATCTTGAACATGCTTTCACTAGTTATTTCTTGAAATACTTCCACTTGAGAAGGACAGCTGACTCATAATTTTGATAGCTTTTCCAGTTGATTATGTTGTCTACAGAGAGTTCAGGAGCCTTAACAGAATTGGATGACACCTGTTTTACAGCCGTAAAAGATGAACTTACCAGATTAATATTGCAAAGAAGGAATACAATATAGATAACAAAATTTGAAGTACAAATTGCCCAGGCAATGCTAATACATCATGCCAATTCTAGTCCTTAGTTAAAGAGGACTTTATCCATGGAGAGTAAACTCTTTTGTGGTATGTCTCTCCATAGGAATAGTTATAGTCATACTCCAGCATTCTCAGTGTTAGAGATGAATTGTTTTCTTCTTCACTGACTCTACAAGAGGCTGAGCCAAAATGTTTCCTTAAACGGTTCTAGACTCTAGAGAAGCTGCATATAATGATTTAACCATTATCAATTCTCCCTGGGGGGTATGATCTGCATGTCCTTCCCTGCCACTCCAGACTCCTGGTACTAGACATGTCATAGAACACAGGTTCTGGGAACTTCGCTGTATTGAGCCAGCTCCATCATTTGTAGCAAAGTCTAAATATGCTGAAATAGTGGCTGGACAGTAACATGAAGAAAGTAGCATTTGAACTGTCTTCTTTTCTGTCTCATAAATCTTTAAATCATCTACATAGAGGACAAGGAACCATATTTGGACCTATTTTCCCAAAAACATATCCAAAGCACCCCAAGAAAGAGGAACCCAATCCTTCGAGCAGATGCTGAAGGACCACGTCATGATTCATTATATGCATGGTGGTTCCACAGTATATTGTTTCTAAAATCCACAAAACTGTAACGTTAAGAGAAATGAGATATCTCTAAGACAGGCTCAGAAATGCTCTCACCAGACTATTGGTCTTGATATTGACATTTAAATCCCTGGACAATGAGAGCAACAATTGTGAGGTTCTCAAATTTTTCATTCTTAGGTTGAGGACATTTTAGTGGCTACATGTACCTGCTGTAGAATCTTCCTGGATTCAAATCCTGGCTCTATGGCATTGCTCCATCAAAGAGGTGACTTTGCATAAGTTCTCAACCTCTGGGAGTCTCAGTTTCTTCACCCGCAAAATGAGGCTTACACTATAGGCTCGTAAGAATTTAAGGTAAAAACATAGGAAGTATTTGATACAAGTGCTTACTACATTCAAAAAAGAGTTATTAGGTGAGATGAAGAAAGAGCTAATAATTGCATATGTTTAGGCTCCATGGATACTAAAGTTAGGAGCGGAGCATGTATCTGTTGAGTGTTCTCTTCTTTGTTTAATTCCCTGTGGAACAAAAAGTCAAAAGGCAGACGACTGACATGATAAAATCCCTCAGCGTGTATCAGAGCAGCCAGGACGACAATACATCAGCATAATTTCACGTCTGGGTTAGACTCATTACTATCAGACACTCGTAAGAACAGAAATTACATTTCTTGCTGTCATCTAACTTTCTGTTTACCATACTACATTTTATCTTTATAAACAGAAAACACACTGTTTAAGTTACAAAAAAGAATAGGTGGTTTCAATATCTTTCAATTTTATAATACTCCAAGACCCACCTTTATTTTTTCCATGGTTAGAAATGCAGATATCCAAAAAGCACAGATTAAAGCAACCAAAACTGAAACACAACAGCCAGTGGTATAGGCAACAATAAGAGTATTTTAAGTATGACTTACAGTGTATCATATACCTTACAAATGTATGTTATACTATTGAAAATGTTGTAAACACATAGATAAGGATTAGAAGAAAGTTCAGATAATATGAAAATAGCTTGATTTATTGAAGAAAAGGATTTCAGGTAAATAAAGTGATTTAAAATTTTTTTTCACTGTTGTAATGTTTACACAATATTTTAAACTGTATACATAATCATATCTACTAAAATACATTTTTAAAACTAGCTATTTGTGGAAAGTTGCTAATTATTTTTGTCATACAAGTAAAAAATAGATAGCTAATCTCACTTGCCAAAGGTTACTCTAACAGTTTACAAAACCCCATTTGTAATGAATTTTCAAATAGCTTACAACGTCTATTATTAGGATTCCTAATAGCAGATAAATGATTGCGTATTAAATGTTGTAAAGGTTTATTATAAAAATAATCATAAAAGTAGTATAAAACTAAGTCAATTCGAATACTTATTTTTTCTAAACTTGGGTGTACACGTACACACACATACACAATTATCTGTTTTTGAGAAATTTTAAGTTATATAAGCCTTTAACCTAAAAATTTGATCTATTAGATCTCTTATCTAGACACTGAAAGTGATCGTTTTATTGAGAAATTATTTTTATGTAAATTTTATTGAGAAATAGTTTTCAACATGGGTTACTTATCAAAACACATTAAATGTTTTTGAGAAATTATTATAATGACAATTCACTATTACAATTCACTGAAATTTTTAGATGTACTTATAACTACTTACAAGAATAAAAATAACAATTCCATTTAAATAAAACCTTTAGCCCTAATGGACATGTATAGAGGGACATTCAAATATAAATTCAAATTAACTTCAGCCACCCAATAATCTAAATGCATTAGCCTGACAGTCAATGATGCTATTTAGGAATATGTAGATAGTTTTGTTTCTATATGTAAAAGTTGCTCCCATCACAACCCTGCAATGAACTTCTTCATATGTAAGCAAAAGTACCTTAAGAGGAAGAGTCTGAAAAGGATTGGCCACGAGGGGACGAAGCCAACGGCCCTGTCCTCTGCTTGGTAAGATGTGGGTGGCTGAACATTTATCTAACAGTTGCCTGGAGTCTGTCCTGTGACTCTCTCAGAAGAGCTACATTTGCACAGATTTTGGCTACACTAAGTATTAAGTGAAGACAGTTACAGTGACAAAACAAAGAACAAAAATTATTCTCTGTCCATTTCCTGACTATTTTCGGTGAAAATGTTTCAGATCAAGATTACTCAGAAAAGCATTTTGAATTTCCACTTAAGTTTGCTTATTCAGTTAATATAAGATCCCAAGCTAAGTTTCTTTATTGTGGCTTTCTACAAAAGACACTTTTCAGTTAAGGTACTTTAAATGTTGATAGGTAAGGTATTCTCTAAATCAGGTATATACTTTGTACCTACTTTCACCTAATAAGGGGGTGCAGCATATATGCTGGGTCAACCAGAAGTTCAACAAGCAATACTGCAAAGGAAAAGCAATTAGGACATTATAGTATTTTGATGTTTGACTATT